AGGCTTAAAAAGAGAGAGACCTTGGGTACCAGAGTCAGAGAGGGATCACCCACTGAGATGATGGAACCTTTAGTGAATATTGGGGTGAAATAATAGAAAAATCTAGGAGCATGGGTCTGCAAAGCTTCTAGGATCAAACTTTGTTAGCCTCTGTCATCTGCTCTAAAGGAGGCCTAGATGAAATGCTGCCATGCTGGACAGAGTAGCAAAAGCAGGTATAATCTGGGTGTTTGAATGCAGAAGAGTCTTATTCCTCCCAATTAAAACAGCTTAAATACTGCTACTGTTAGCTAGTGGCCACATACCTGTAGTGATTAAAATTAAAAGAGGCTTTCGTATAGGGAGTGAAATGAGTATAAATGTGTATCTGTAAAATATCTGATAAAAAAACATCCGATTCCGCTTGAGAGTAAATACCTCGACATTACTGTTTCCAGCTGTGTCACACCACTCTGACTCTGAGGGCTGATGCAGGACCTAAATATAAAAATCATATGAAGTACATTTGTAATACTATTAAGTATACGGAAGCCATATCAATCTATCATGTTTCAAAACTATGATTGTGGGCTTATTTGTTTTTGATTAGGGCTGAGTGATGGATGCAATCAAATGGTAAATGGACTGCATTTATTGAGTGGTTTTTGTACTACAGTGTTTAAAATGTGCCTCTCATTCACCCACGCACAACTACCATGCAAGCTGCTGGCCGAGCCCTCAGCAGCAATCAGGGATCAGTGTTTCTCTCATCTCCAGTATCAATATATACAAAAATATAGAGAAAAACCCTGAAAAGTCACATATAAAAAAAATCTAAATTAGTACACTGATTGACATCATTTTGTTACTTTCAATTTGCTTGGAATGTTTATTGAGGCAACATGATCTTTCTTTTTTTAAGTCATAGCATCACTATACACAGTTAAAGGTACCTCATGGAGTTGTTTTCTTTTGTTTACAAAGTTTTACTCACTGAAACGCAGAATGTCTCCTTTAGGCCAAAGAAACAACAAACATTAGCAGAGATGATATTTGGTAATAACTTAATTCTTCTTTTCAACCTCAAAATATTTACTTCCTAGCAGTCTTCTTCCTCCCTCCACGCTTCTTGGCATGTTCCTGCCTTCAACTGAGGGTCAGCGGAAAAGCATGATACTGTGCATGCACATATGCATCCTCGTGGACATGCATACGATACTAACAAAACAGGCATCCAATCATAAAACACATTGCTCCGCACTGCTTCTAGTGGTGGAAAACTCCACACAGCGCCTTTAATAAACATTAACATTGTATAATTACCCTACTCTTAAACAGCAAACATCTGTCAAACACTGTCTCCTGTTGGGAAGCTCACGTAATTTAAAATGTGCTCTCAGCCATTGATTTCTTCTTTACAATTTGTAAAGCTCTTGCAGCATCTACATACACCTCCCCATCACTATGAAACACTTTTGTTGTCTCTGTCTGTCTCAGTCTTGCAGATTTCGCTCACCCACACCTCTGCTCCTCTCTTGCTCTTTGTCATCACCTTTCTTGATTGTCTATTTGAGAATATTCAGCTGTGACTCCCTCTTGACTTTACACTCAGAAACCTGTATCTGTGAGATAGAAATGGACTGGGAGTTTGCCACCTCTGTTGTTCAGCCTCCATTTTTAAACACTGCTCGACTTCAGGTTACTACCCTGATGTAAACAGCACGAAGCGCCTTTAAGTCCTGATACCTTCCCACTCACTCATGACCCTGTTGTAAGAAACCATGGTCAAATTGAAGCCCGTGTTCTGTTTCATGTAGGTCTATTATATGCGTTGACTCAAATGGCTTGTTTACCGTCTGAAGGCTACAGGATTGACAGACAACGAAGATGAGATCGTTATTGTTTTCCAGCAAAGAGCCTTTAAAAAGTAGCTTTCCATTAAAAGCCTGTGCATTAGGGATGCCCAAGACTCAAGAAGTAAAACAAGCAATTAGGGTGATATCTTTGATGGCCTGTCATGTCAGTCAAGAATGTGGTCGGTAGCATTTGGATCTTTTCGAATGACTGTATTCCCATCAGCCCTTGACTTACAGTACATAAGTCAGAGACAACTAGACACAGTAGATGCACATTCAAAGTGTGTACAAGTGTTGTATTCAAGAACCACCTAAACTGACACCAAGTCAAGACCAAGACCAGACCAGTGCGAGTCCCACACTGCATGACACACGTATGATAAAATGTGGAAAATGCAAACCATAGGCTCTCCTCAAATTGATCTAGAGGTTCCACATTCCATAAAAACAACATTTGTCTTTACCTTTGTTTTTTCGGAGCAAACAAATTCAAACAACCACAAGGGAGGAGCTGAGATCGACTCAACACTCTTTATTCAACTGTCATTTGACATGTATTACCATCCAACTAGCACGATACAATTTAGAACAGAATAAAGTTATTGGTTGCATTTGAAGCAGGATGTTTTTTTGGTCTTGAAATAGAATCAGAGTCCTCTTTGTCTGAGACCTAGACAAGGCCGAGTAAATATACGTTCGCTTCCAAGATGAGACATAGTCTCGAGACCAAGACCAATCTTGAGCACCACAACAGTACATACGAGTTAAAAAGAAGAAAGATAAACCTACTAGTTTGCATCAATAGTAATAGTTGGTTTTTTTATGCTCAAAACACTGTGCTACATAAAGTAGTACTATGCCACTCTGTGTGATATTTTGCAATAGCACCAGGTGGCTGCTCTGTAGAATCGTTATTACAGAGCCGTTCTGTGCATGTTTGTATCCCAAAATAGTGGCAGGACACAAAATGTGGCCTTGGGATTGTGGCAGATGCGCTTCTGATCAGTGCATGAGTGACGAAGTACTGAGAGCTTCTTGTTTCCAACCCTACTGCGTTTACTTAAAGGACCTCTTGTATATCTGGTCGCACAGCTTGTCAGTTGGCAGTCAGAAGAACAGACCACTATTTTGGATATATATGGGACAGCTGGTTTGGTTTTTGGGCGTCACTGATTCTTACAGAAAAATAGTAGATTGATTGTGATGTTGTGCTTTGCCTCCCCTTTTGTTTGGTTGTTAAAAGCGTCTGCTAAATGACTGTAATGTAAAGACATCACTTTTGACTAATCCCAGGCTATCTCCCTGAGTTCCCATGCATCAAAGAAGTGTTGTGTGAACACAGTTCACTGCAGTTTACAGGGTCCACTAATGGTGAGGATCACTCAGAATGTGAACAGAAAGTATAAATTAAAAACACAAAATATCTGCTGCTGATGATCCTTCAACGTAAAACCACAGTAACCACTCATTTCAATGCAAATGGCTTTTTTTGTCATGTGGATTTTTTTGTTTTGATTAAAAGATGCTGTGCCTTCTTAGTCTTTGAGCTTTCTGAGTGTTTGTACACGACTAACATGAAATCTCCTGGCTTTCTTTGGTGCGGGTAGAAATGAGGGAAGCCAAAGAGCGTCTACTATTAACTTATCATAATAAAACATTACAGGCAGACTTTTGGGATGTCTCAACTAAGCTCTATTGGCAGGATGTGACATGTGGCTTCCAAACAGCTTCATATCGTTCCGTTTCCTGCCCGGTTAAATACCTCACTTTGTAATTTTAAGCAGATGGGAATTCCTGCTATCTGCAGTGTAGTGACTGGGTCTGTGAAATCCTCCTCCGTTAATAAGTGGGCACGGCTTGCCAGTACAACCCCCCGTTCCAGCCTCACCAGACTTCTAATAACAGTCTTGGTGACTTCTGGGGATTTCCAGTGTTCAAGCCCTCTGTGAAGAACCGTCGATGCATCTGTGATTTGTGATTAGACCGCCAATGTCTGTGCCTGCTGCTTCTCTCATTAATAGCTGCTGTAGAACGTTGTAAGAGAGTCTGATCTGGTTCTGGATTGGTGTACAACACCTTGGTGGTGGTTCATGTTGAAAGATCTGCGCCCACTCTACGACATCGGCTGTACTTGATATGCAGACCATGCTGGCGGAAACCAGATCCGATCAGGATCTTTGTTTCATTGAGTTCGGCAGAGCTTTAAGTTTTCTTTTTTTGTTGTGCACTTAATTCACTCATCCTTTCTTCACTTTTTACTGGGGTATTATTCAAATATAAGGCAGCATTTAAGTCTTACAAGGAACTGAAAAGGCAATGGATAAAGAGGACACAACACAGATAACAGATCCCCTTGTAAAGAACTTAAAGCTGACCTCGTAGACTTAAGACTAGAAGATGATGTTGCCGCTAACAAGCACTCTCACTAATGTAGCCATTTCCTTTCCCCCACTGTTCTCCCAGTCTTCCTCCGAGTATTTCAGGTTCCAAAGTGCAGGGGTTTGCTTTTTAACCCTTCGTGAAATGCAGGTTTCATGTTTCTCAACCACTAAACGTAAAGATGAATGTTCCTAGATAGTTCAGACACAGCAGACTATTACAGTGAAGAGCTCTCTAATCTTATTCCATTCCAATCAATCCAAATAAACAGTTAATCATTTCTGGATGTACAATCGTACAAATAGTCACATTTTACAAAGATGCATCAGAATGCTAATATCATGCTCTTAACATTATGAAAGATTTCTCTTCACTGGTGGAATGGCAGTTGCATACAAATGACTAATGCTTCACTATGTATACATTTTGCACTTCCTCTGTTAAATAAAAGAAGAAAAGCTAAATATTGTAATCAACAGTTGTAGGATAAAAAAAGGTTATAGTAACAGAATTAACTGGGCTTTGTTGCTGGAGAATTCTGGATATATTTGTTGAAAAAGGCTCTGGAGTTCACAAGTTTCCCCGAGTATATTGTTTTGAAGAAAAGATAAGATGGAACTTTATTTATCCCGAGGAGAATTGTTGGCTAAGATTAGCTTTTGTGATCAACTTTCTGTCAGATATTTATTCAACCTGATTAAGTTTATTTGTTCAAATGATTTGTTATACCCAAATTCACAGTATAATACACTTAAACTCAGGTGTATTTTCTCCCTCTGTTTCTAGGACCACAGACAGGGGAACCATGACAGATGACGTGAAAAGACCAGTTGAATGTTGCCACTGTGTGGTCATGTGACTGAGCTGGGCTCCTCCATAGCACATGGGAAACACTTCCTCCTGCTGACTTGCCGATGCCGCCTTGCTGCCCTGTTTTCACCATGAGAGGATCTGTCAGGTGCTTGACCTCTGTAGCCTCATACTGGCGCTGCTGTTGTGCCATGTGAGCACCCCCTCTCCTCCGGCAGTTACTGCACGGAATGGCCTCTCTGGACCTGCCATACCGCTGTCCTCGCTGCGGGGAGCACAAGCGCTTCCGAAGCCTGTCGTCCTTACGTGCCCACCTGGAGTACAACCACACGTACGAGACCCTCTACGTCCTCTCCAAATCCAACAGTGTGTGTGACGCTGCTGCTCTGCTGCCGCTTGTGGCTGAGGGAGCTCTCCTCGCACCGACCAACAACAACGACCCATTTGAGCCACTGCGGCCTTCAGCTTTAAAGGAGCGGCGCTTCCCTTGTCGTGAGCTTCCTTGTGCGGATGACTTGAGTCTGACCCCGGCTAACTCCAACACTGCAGCCCGGTATATTCCCAATGTGGAATTTCCCCTGGGGGAGATTTTTATGAAGAAAGCCATGACATCCGCAGACCCAGGTCCTCATGGCAACGCCAGCACAGCTGTAGCAGTGGCAGCTAATGTAGCGGCTAGTGCAGTGGAGGCGGCCTACGAGGAGGGCCTGGCCAGGCTGAAGGCTCGGGCGTTTGAACGGCTGGAGCTGGATGAAAGGCTCGAGAAGCTGTCTGAAGAGGTCAATACGATCATTGTGGTTGTCAAGCTCTCAATATAAAAGAAAGAACAAATTTACATGATACATATATATACAGACATACCGCTCAACAGAAATAATAAGCCAAACAAACAAGCAAACAAAAACATGTGGCTAGTATGTTAGAGCTGGACACAAACTATTCATATAGTTATTGGTCAGTTACTATGTTCAAAATTAATTTTATTGGAGAAAGCTTAACATTGTTGTGTGGAATTAGATCATTTCTTACTTTAGCAACCCCTAGTGGTTGCATCAAACAACACATGCCAATTCATGACCCAAGGATCCAGCCATGGGACATTGAGAATTGTTTAAAATAAACACACATTTTCACAATTTTCTACATTAATTCTTTGATTTGAAAGATGTTGCACGATAAAACTAAAAATCTACACAATGTTGCTAAAAAACAAAATCTTTCTTGCACATGAGGGATTGGAGTGTTGTTGAGTAGCAGTGGGTTTAGTCTTCAGACTAATGTCTGGAAGTTGTATTGCCACAAAATATAGTGTAGAGGGAAAGCCTATGTGTTGTGTACGATGGACATTACCTGCAATTCCTCAGATTTTATTTGTTTGTGTTTTCAACTCTCTTCCACTGAGGAACTTGAAATGGGTGGGTTGCTTAAACAGCACTCCAAGATCGTAACACTGTGTAACTTGCTCCGGGTTGCCATTTCCATGTCTGCAGGTGGGTTATTGCATAGTCAAGAGCCCCTCCCTCTGTATTTAGGTTAGACATTAAACTAGTATCTCTCTGTTCTCATTCTGTTTTGAGAACCTTGAGCTCAGTAACAGAGCGAAAATGAAAGATCTTGTCACAGGCATGCACTGAGTCTGATCAGTTAAACTTAAAAATCGGTCACATTTATATTAGCAGCCAATGGGTAAAAACTAAAACGGGAATAACATGTTGTCTCACTAGCTGCATTGAAACAAGGAAGATTTTAACTGACGAAAACGAGTATATAATGAATAGCATCAATCAAGGAAGGAAGAAGTTAAGCCTTTAATAACAGAGTCCAAGTTTTTAGCCAAAAGAAAAGCTCATTCTTCTCAGTGTCTCTAGGTTAGAAGAGGCTGCACCACAGTTTTGTCACGCTTACTCACACTCAAAACTTATCAAAGAAGATTTTCATACCCAGAAGTCACATTTTTGGATTTAAAAACAAGCTTTTTTTTTTTTTTTATAATTCGAGCACATCTAGTACAGGTCAAGGCCAGTATAACAATTTATGATGGAGCTGAATTGGCTTGCAGATGTTTTTCAGTCAATAATGTCGTAATAGTCATATTGCTGTTTATCTTCCAGTGACTGGTAGTAGACAATCTAGTGAACCCAATATATTCACTTAAGTTTTCTTCTTGATGATTTCATTGGGGCTTTGAGTAGTATTCTATCATCTTATTAAAGAAAAAAACCAAATTATTTAGTTAATGGCCTAACTTGCATAACTAGTTACTGTATGTCTCATACGACGTTGTGATTATGGCGGGACACAAAGGCAGCTCAAGTGCCTCTTGTCTTGTAGGTGGAGCAGAAAATAGCGGCCCGCGTAGGTCGTCTTCAGTCAGAGCTGGAGAGGAAGAGCTCCGAGCTGGAGCGGGCCAAGCTGGAGAGCGAACAGCTGAGCCAGGAGAAGCAAGACCTGGAGGACAAGGCCTCCGAGCTCTCTCGACAGGTGGACGTCTCTGTGGAAATGCTGGCCAACCTCAAACAGGACCTGGTGAACAAGGAGCAGGAGCTCAACCACAAACAACAGTATGTGATATATGTCTTCAGACTCATAGACACAGAAATACATTTCCCTTTGAGATGAAATGAATTGTTTAAGACATTTAATTCACTGGTTGCAGCTTTTAAAATTAATGAATATTTGCTGGTTTTGTCAGCTATGTTAGTAAATGGAATACCTTTGAGTTTTGGACCGTTGGTCGGATACAACAGACAATTTGAAGATGTAACCTTAACTGTTGATGAAAATAATCCTTAGTTACAGCACTAATTTTCATTGTGTGTAGAATAACATGCTGCTGTTTTGATGGAGGTGATGTCCGTTTGTTGGTCGATTGGTCTGCCCATCTCTCTTGTTGATACAAATATCATAGTCCACTTGGCTTATGGTGAAGTAGAAAGAAGTAAAACATGAACACCCTCGGCTACCACCTTCTTCACCCTTGACACCGATGGCTCCTAACATTCCCTTGCTCTTCCTTTCATTGAACACATTGTCATGCATGCAAACACTCACACACACACTCCCTTCCTCTCCTTCACCTCTACCCATTTGTTGATGGTATAATTCTCAGTCGCATCCACCCAACCAGATGTGGTCGGCATCTGTCCTGCTGCTGTCTCCATACACCTGTGCCCTCCACACAAACGCAAGCTCTTTGCCTATATTTGCATCTATTTTCTTTGTTTAAGTGATCAACAGTTGTTCAGGTATCATTCAAGGCTCATATTCAAGCCATCTGGTATCTCTACTGTTTCTTTATCCGACAGGACAGCCAGCCTCGTCTTTCTATCTTCTTTCGGGTTTTTATCACCTCTTCGGTTTCTTCATCAGGCCTGAATGTCAACAGTAGGTCAGAGACAGAAAATCACCCTCAAGACGTCTAATCTCATCACAAACACGCAACTGCACATGCCACTGTGCACTGTGTATGTGTGTGTGTGTTTCTTTGTAACGGCGTCAATGAGGCACAAAGGGAATGTATATATCAATTTAAAGCTATTATTAAAGCTGGGGTAGACAACTTTGGGGAAACCAGCAAGAGTATGCTCAATTTTGAAAGCATCCAACAGAAAAATCCACAGCCCCTCCCGTCACGCCTCCATCAAAAATCCTCTCCCTCAAAACACATGACCTTGCACTGCCAGTCCACAATAGAGGGCTGCGAAACGAAGCGCAGCGTATTATTGTTATCGCTAACCATATTTAGCTACCTCATGTCTCATTCACATGTAAGAAAACAACATTATCCAACATTGACCACAGCTGTTAATGTCAATGAGTGCGTTCAGATAGATAGGTAGGTAGGTAGGTAGGCCATCCAATCATAACGTGCAGAATTAAAAAAATGGTATGGGTTAATTACAGGCCTGTGACAACAACAGATACCAGATTGTTTTCTTTTTTTTTTTGTCAGAGAATTTGATGAATTGGTTGCTGTCGAGACGTAAAGAGAATTTCAACTAATATAACAAAAATGCTTCGAAAATAAATTGCTCACCCGAGCTTCAATAGTGAGGCATTATAATTATCTCTGCCAGGAAAATAACGTGATGGTTGTCCACTGACTTTAACCCCTTCCCAGCCGATGCCTCTTCTGGCGTTTTTGTTGTTATTTTCCAGTGTTCATTCAGTCTCTTCAGTCCAGATTCTGTGTTGCTTCACAGATGTAGTGTGTCTCACAATAATGTCTGACCAGCATCTCTAAAACCCTCAACATTTTACATTTCCAATCACATAAATCAGAGAAAAGAGAACAGCTTTTATCAAGCAAACATGTTGAATGATGAACCAATCAACTTTATGACTAATTGTATTAGCACTAGAGTCGTCCATTGAGTTTCAGTGATTTGTGCACTATGCAGTCGGTCATCTTGGTCCCTGCAGGTCACGGCTAACTCACACAAGTGTCTTTGTGTCAGCATTATAGAGACAGCTAAACTGGTAATATTAGAATTTGAGTGGCTAATCTTGTGATAGAATGATACAAAACAGGGTTTCATCGGGTCAAATGAGCAGAAGACAAGCATGTTTTTCTTTGATTTAGTCCCGCCCCTCTGTCGGAAAGGGTGCAGTAACTGTGACCATGTCTCCCAAAACTGGTGGCATCAGACTGGGATAGTTCTACTCTTAAAATCCCAGCCTGGGCTGTATGACTGCCTCATAGATATAACAGCAGCCCAGATTCTCTCTCTCTCTCTCTCTCTCTCACACACACACACACACACACACACACACACACACACACACACACACACAGTTTTCCTGGGTCTGTCTCCCTGAGGAGAAGCTGGCAGTCAAACAGTAAGCTCATTCAGACCCTAAAATACAGTCGGTCTGAGGTGGAAAAAGAGCATCACAGTCGGTGAATGTTCAGCAGGGTTGATGACTAAGCAGAAAGTTATAAGACACGTTATTGGCTAAAACATGGCTGCCCAACAACCTCATGCAAACAGCTGATTCTTTTAAAAACCTTTGATATTCTCGAGTGAATTTGTGTAGTCTGTGAAACTCCTTCAAGGAGATATGCATCATGCAGTACATCAGTGGTGTGCTAAAGTGCTAAAAATGCGAGTCACCTCACCGAGAGTTGCTATGCAACCATAGGAAACTCCCACGAAGTGGCTTCTGCTGCTAGCAGCGCTATGCATAAATATATGACACAACCTCATGATTTATTCTGCACCCAGAAACGCTGTAAATAATTATGAAAAGCATACAAAACGCCTCAGGTACATTTGTGCAAATCAGCTCGGTCCTTATTATAATGTACAGTTTAGTTTGTAGCCAAATTCATTCACAAACAACAATACGGACAAAAACAAACTGCATGCTCATACTGCAAGAGTCACTGAAAGCACATCATGATAAACATCACACCACACTGTAGCAGTCAAAGCTGAATGAATAACAGACTCCCTCAAGCATGCCTGGTAAATGGTTTGATAGCAGCTGGAATAAATGAGAGCGTCTGTAATCAGCAGAAACTGGAGCCTGAAGAGAAATTTGAAATGGTGGGACTGTTATCTCCATCATCTCAGTGCGCTACACACCAAGAGTAGAAAAACACGCCTAATTCTGTGTCTATCATAGAAATACAAGACGTTTATTTAGTTGCTGTGATATTCGCTAGTCACTAATATGCCAAGTGTCGTGTTATTGTTCCAGTAGATCATTTGTAAGAGCTATTTCTAATTAACTTTGATCTTGCGTTTGTGATCCCTTTCATTCATGGAGATGATGGCTGGCCTCACTGTGCTCCTGCAGGAGGACATTATACTGTACGCAGCCAGATTATCAGACGCTGTTTTTTAATTGTTTCTCTTCCCGGTTGAAAGGTTTATATGTGATGTACAGGTGGGTTATACAGTCAATTTTTAGACCTGTGCAATTTTTTCAATCCAATATACTCCAACACTGGACCAAGTTGAAGCTAAAACCATTTGTCCATTAGTCAGTCGACAAAAAATATTCAGCAGCTATTTTTAGTAGACATCAAAAATGACAAACGTTTCCGTGTTCCAGCTTCTCAGTTGTGATGATTGGTAAGAAATTTGAACGCATCATTAAGGAAGCACACAACCGTTGGACAGGAGGGTATTTGTTCATCAGGATAGATGTTACAAAGTCACCCTAAAAAAAGAAAAGAAATAAGATTAAAATTACAAAAGTACTGAGATTAAGTATAAGCGTTTTATATTACATAAAAGAAAGAGATTGGACCAAACCATACAAATTTAGTGAGAAAAAAAATTGGCAAAGTAATTGACAATATAAATAATTGTAAATTGCAGCCCTACAACAAATACTTCCTTTGTGAAGCTTATTGTATTTGTAAGGTGATTATTATGGAAATGTTTGTAGCTGTAGGTTTTGGCGTTGTGGTGTCAGGTTTTGTTGTACTTTGATTTGTATTGTACCCTCTTCATGTGATGTACAAACAGGGGAGGGGCTAACTGTTGCAGTATTACAGTTGTTTGTATTAGATTGTGCAGGTGTTCATGGTATTGAAGGAGAGAAGAGCAGTACAGAGACAAAGCATGTCAGTTTTTCATATCATATTTAGCGCTCACACACATACACACACACACACACACACATACAGTTGCTGCAGTAGTCCTCAGCCCTGAGGCTTGATTTATTCCTACAACCAGCTATGATAAAGTAAGTGTGCTCTGTGCCGCAAAAGAAAGACAAAGGCTCAAAAGGATCTACATGTAGGAGTCTATTGGCTGTCACTGTGCCTCCTTCAAAAAAAACAAGCTCGGGCAGCAATCTATGCAAAGTGAAGCTGTCAGGGCAGAGACAGAACTCGCCTCATTAACGACAGTGGCTTAGAGAGAGGAGCATCGAGTGTTAGCACTGCAAGACCCTCTGCAGGCTCTCTAATGAAAATAAATCAGAGTAAGGACGTGATCTGCAATACATCTAGGAATGTGGACTTGAAAATGAGTTTGACACCTCCTTAAGGGTCTGTGTTGTAATATGATATATTTAAAGCTCAGTGTATCTCAAAATATGTCAAAGCATAAGACAGTCGAGTAATATTTGTCCAAACCCTGTAGGAGCAGATGTCCTGTATGCTAGTAAATTGTTTGGATTACAGAAAAACATTGCAGCGCTGACGCCAAACACTTTCATGCTATGAAAACACTAATGCATAGGTTCGTTGTACGTTGTTTTTCAATGTGAAATATGTTGAAATGTTCTATGATTATTACTTGACACATACTATCTGCATTGTTACATACTTACTTACACAGCTTTTACTAGGACTGGATGTCTGCAGTTAGATACATTAAGTCTATAATGTACAATGTAGAGCTGTAATTGGACAAGCTTAGGGAGAATCATGCTCGGAGTAAACCAAAGTACGTCCATAGGCACTGCATTCAGACTTGCAGCAGCAATATAATGTGGAGTATAACAAGAAAGGGTTCTGATGATCCACTGAATGTTAGCCGTCAGATAGAACAGGATTCATGAGCGGAGGGCTGTTCATGTCCATCATTAGATGGAAGAAACT